AAAACTGCAGCCCCCAAAGCAACTCCAGTGACTCCATCTCCTGAAGGGGTCACAGCTGTACCGCTGGAGACTCCTCCCTGCTCCAAAAAGTCTCCTAAAACTGCAGCCCCCAAAGAAACTCCAACAACTCCATCTCCTGAAGGGGTCACAGCTATACCGCTGGAGACTCCTCCTCGCTCCAAAAAGGCCCCCAAAGAAAGTTCACCAACCTCATCTTCCAAAAGGACCTCTAAAGCTGCAGTTTCCAAAGAAATGCCTTCTAAAGGAGTCACAGCTGTGCCATTGGAGATTTCTCTTCCTCTAAAAGAAGTGCCCCAAAATGCAGCCTCTAATGAAAATTCAGCAGCCTCATCCCAAAAAAAGTCCCTCAAAACTGCAGGCCCTAAAGAAACTCCACCTGAAGGAGTCACAGCTGTGCCACTGGAGATTCCTCCTTCCCCCAAAAAGGCCCACAAAACTGCAGTCTCTAAACAGGTTCCTGTAACCCCATCTCCCAAAGATGCCTTTACTACCCTAGCTGAAACTCTTCCCTCTCCCAAAAAGGCACCCAAAACTGCAGCCCCTAAAGAAGCAACCCCATCTGAGGGGGGCACAACTGTATCAGTGGAGATTTCTCCTCCAAAAAAGACCTCAAAAACTGCAGCCCCCAAAGAAAATTCAGCAACCTCATCCCCAAAAAGATCCTCAAAAACTGCAACCCACAAAGAAAATTCAACTTCATCCCCAAAAAGGTCCCCCAAAACTGCAGCCCCCAAAGAAACTCCAACCACACCTGAGGGGGTTACACCGATGCCACTGGAGATTCCTCCTTCCCCCCCAACTCCAGCCTCTAAACAGGTTCCTGTGACCCCATCTCCCAAAGGTGCCCCTAATACCCTAGCTGAGAGTCCTTCCTCCCCTAAAAAGACCCCTAAAACTGCAGCCCCTAAAGAAACCTCAACAGCTCCATCCCTTCAAAAAATTCCCAAAATGGCAGGTCCCAAAGAGGCTCCAGCAACTCCACCTTCAAAAAAGGCCCCCAAAAATGCAATCCCCAAAGAAACGTCAGCACTTTCCGAGGGGGTCACAGCTATACCACTGGAGATTCCTCCCTCCCGTAGAAAGTCTCCCAAAACAGCTCCCAAAGAAACTCTAGCCACATCTCCTGAAGGGGTCACAGCTGCACCAGTGCAGATTCCTCCCTCTCCCAGGAAGGGGCCTAAGACAGCAGGCTCCAAAGAAGCACCCACAACCCCATCTCCTGAAGGGGTCACAGCTGTGCCACTGGAGATTCCCTTATCTTCCAAAAAGACCCCCAAAATGGCAAGTCCCAAAGAAACACTAGTAGCCCCATCTTCCAAAAAGCTCTCCCAAACTGCAGGCTCTAAAGAAACTCCACCTGAAGGGGTCACAGCTGTGCCACTGGAGATTCCTCCTTCCCTCAAAAACGCCCCCAAAACTGTAGACCCTAAACAGGTTCCTCTAACCCCATCTCCTAAAGATGCCCCAACTACTCTATCTGAAAGTCCTCCCTCTCCCAAAAAGGCACCCAAAACTGCAGCCCCACCCTCTGAAAGGGTCACCACTGTACCACCAGAGAAGCCTGCCACCCCACAGAAGGTTTCAGCAACTGCAGCCTCCAAAGTGCCTGTCCCTGCTGAGACACAAGAAGTTGCTATCTCCCCCAAGGAGACTCCAGTAACCCCAGCTGCACCCCCAGTCAAGAATCCTTCCTCCCATAAAAAAACCTCAAAGACTGTAGATCTCAAAGAAGCTCCAGCAACCCTCCCTCCCTCTCCCACAAAGAGCCCCAAAATTCCATCATCCAAAAAGGCACCAAGAACTTCAGCCTCTAAAGAGTTTCCTGCAAGCCCTCCTATTAAAGCACAGACTGCTCCCTGTCTGCAAAAGGCCCCATCAGCTACACTCCCCAAGGAGAACTTAGCTGCTCCAGCTGGTATTCCTGTCTCCAACAAAAGCCCAGCAGCCCCAACTCCTACAAATTCTGCCACTACCTTAGCTGCCACTTCCCTTTCCCCAACTCCCCCAGTCACGATTTCTTCCTCCAAAAAGACCCCAGCCGCTGCAGCTCCTCAGACAGCTCCAAAAGAGGCCACAGCAGTCCCATCTTGTAAAAAGGTTCCAGCCACTGAGACCTCCAGTGAGACTTCAACAACTCCATCTCTCAAAGGGGGGGCCCCCAAGGAGACCTCAGAAACTTCTGTGTCCAAAGGAGTTCTCACGTCCACAGTCAACTCTTGCCCTCCTAAAAAGGCCCCATCCTCCAAAAGGGCCTCTACTCTCCCAGCTACGACTCTTCCCTCTGTTAAAGAGGCCTCTGTTCTCTCACCCATTGGTACTTCTTCTGCAAAAGACTCCCAAACTTCCTCGGTGCCCACTGCTTGTAGCACAGGAACTACTACCCCTCAAGCATCTGAAAAGCTCCCAGCAAAGAAAGATCCTACAGCTCTCACACAAGTGCTTGCTGCACCTGCTCCAGAAAGTGCTTTGGTCATCACTGCTCCCATTCAGAAAGGCTCAAAAGCCAAGAGCAGGTCTGCTTCACCTCCTAAGTGCCCAGATCCCTCCGCTAAGAAAGATACAAAGGGCCTCCTTTCTGCAGTAGCTCCAGCCCCTCAGACAGTCCCTGTTGAAAAAGACTCTTCAAAAACTGCAGAAGCTCTACCTTTTTGCCCTGCAAAAGGCAGTGATTGTCTTCATTCCCCAGAGGGTCCTGTGGAGTCTCAGATAGCTACTCCTCTGGTAGCATTGACCTCTGACAAAGTCCTTCCAGAAGCTGTGTCTGCATCTGTGGCTCCAAAGCCTACCCCAGCAGCTTCCCTGACTCTTGCTCCCTCCCCAGTTCCCCCTCTGCCGCCTAAACAGCCATTTCTTCAGTCCACACCTGGGTCCGTGCTGGAGTCACCCTCTAAGCTCCCAGTCCCTGCTGATGAGGATGAGCTGCCGCCTCTGATCCCCCCGGAAGCAGTCTCTGGGGGAGTGCCTTTCCAGCCGATCCTCGTCAACATGCCCACCCCTAAACCTGCTGGGATCCCTGCCCCAGCCCCCTCTGCCAAGCAGCCTATTCTGAAGAACAACAAGGGTATTTGCCTTGGTTTGCTGTGTGCATGGTGTGTTGCCCACACCCCTCTTGGGGGCTACCCACCAATACTAACTAGGACGCGTCGCTTTGTACAGTATGTCTGCTTGAGTTTGGGCGTAGTGCATAAAAAATGGTAATTTTAAATGTAGAAGCCCTAGGAATATGAACTAATTCTTGGTTTCTGTCATCTCAGGTAATACTTTGTGTCTTGTGTAAAGTGGTCCAGGCTAAGTAAGCTCTGGATCTAACATCTTCTTTAACCTGAGCTGATACTGAAAACCAAGACCTACCAGGCCTTTGCTGGACTCTAATTCTCCTCACATCACTAACCTTGTCCCTGGGCCTGGGATTTGCTTTTGTAAAAAATAATTAAAATGGAAAAAAACAAAACAAAACTTCAAGCTGTTCCTTTTCTTCTTAGATTAGTAACTACCAGTTGCCCAGGGACTTCCTTTTCTTAAGAATGTAGAGAGCTGTTTTTCTGGCCTGAGAATGGTGTGGGAGTATGCTTTCCTCTCCTTCAGTAGACTTTACTGATGCTTGGCCATTCAATTGAAGGAAAATTAAGATGTGTCGGTTATGTTTGGGAGTTGGGGAGTCATGAGTCTGTATCTAGTAGAGGTGAGAAATGATAGGACTTAACAATATGGAGGTTGTCTAGTGCCAGGTTAACAGGTTAAAACTCTTTCCAGGGGTGGTTTGAAAAGCAGAACGTATGTGCACAGCTGCTTCTGACCTTCCAACCCTATTTAAAGGGTTTTCACTTAATTGTATCTAAAGATGCCTTGCGCCTGATTATTTCTGGGATGGGGATAAAATTTGGAATCTCATAGAAGCTTGGTGTTTGTGCCAAGAAGTGAAGACCTTAAGAGAGAGAAGGCAGTTGCAGCATATAAGCTGCTTAGCTAGCTAGCTACTGTACAACATCTCTGAGGAAAAGTCTTCAATGGATTCTTGTAAGTTGGGTGCCTCCGGCTGGGTCACAGAAGCCAATCAATTTACATTTAGCTTTGTAAGGCCTTACATAAAGCAGTGACAGCTAGTTCAGGCAGGCCATGACGAGGTGCCGCCTCTTGAAATTGTACTGTTGAAGATAATAAAAGTTACCTGTCATCCTAGGGTCGGGAACAGAGTCTGACAGTGATGAATCGGTGCCAGAGCTCGAAGAACAAGATTCCACACAGACAGCCACACAACAAGCCCAGGTGTGTGTACTCTTAATTACTTATAATGTATGGTGGCCAGGTCCTGTAATCCTGGTACTTGGAGGGCTGAGGCAGAAGTTGAAAGTTGAAGGTCAGCCTGGACCACTGTGAGAATGTGCCTCAAAAAAAAAGAAAGAAAGAAAATTGGTTGAAGGTCTGCAACCAAGATTAACTGTAAGGATTTGGCTGTTTGAAATGTGAATCTTTTTGTAAAGCAAGTTATTTGGATCTTTGCAAGCAAGCATCCAAAGCTTTGAGTCTGTTCAAGAGGCAAGATCATCTCTGAGTTCCAGGACAGCCTGGGCAACACAGAGAAGCCCTGTCTCAAAACAAAACTTTTGTCTTCTCAGCTGGCAGCCGCGGCTGAGATCGATGAGGAACCTGTTAGTAAAGCCAAGCAGAGTCGGAGTGAGAAGAAGGCAAGGAAGGTAAGATGGAGTCATGAGGGTGGATCTGGGCTTGGGTCTGCATATGTGCAGTCCTAGCACTTGAGACACGAAAGTGGAGGAGGGATTAGGAGATAGCCGCTAGCTAGCTAGCTAGCTGTGTAGCAAGTCAGAGTTAGCTTAGGGTGCATGAGACTGTCTGCCTCCAGAAAGGCACTTGCGGTGCAGCTCCTGGTGACCTGCCATAGCCGAGCACACTCAGCTTTTCTTTTCCATAACACAGGAAAGGTCTACTGTGGATGTTGAATGTGGGACTGTTTCTTGTTTTGTTTTTTTGTCTTTTTAAAGCTGCTCCTAAAGTTAGAAACTTAATGTTCATTTCTCTTCTTTAGGCTATGTCCAAACTGGGTCTTCGACAGGTTACAGGGGTTACGAGAGTCACTATCCGGAAATCTAAAAATATCCTCTTTGTCATCACAAAGCCGGATGTCTATAAGAGCCCAGCTTCAGATACCTACATAGTGTTTGGGGAAGCCAAGGTTAGTAACATTTCAGGTGAACTTCTCCAGTATTATTGCTGCTACTCCAGAGGTTAATCTCCAATTGTGATATTTAAAAAACCCCTCTGGCATCTTGTTGCCTGAGATACATTTTTCACTTAACATTTACCCATGCCTCTATCCTCTGCCCTGTAGATTGAAGATTTGTCTCAACAAGCACAGTTAGCGGCTGCTGAGAAGTTCAAAGTTCAAGGTGAAGCTGTTTCAAACATTCAAGAAAACACTCAGACTCCAACCGTCCAAGAGGAGAGTGAAGAAGAAGAGGTAATCCACAGAATCTTGAGGACTTAATCTGTGTCAGCAGCTTTTGCTTCAGAACACTATGGAAGTTATTCTTATCTTAGATTGATCGACACTCTCCTCCCTCCCCATCTTTTAGGTTGATGAAACAGGCGTGGAAGTTAAGGACATAGAATTGGTCATGTCACAAGCAAATGTATCCAGAGCAAAGGCTGTCCGAGCCCTGAAAAACAACAGTAACGATATTGTAAATGCTATTATGGTGAGTGGCCCATCAGTTAGGCTTTATTTCAAAGCCTGAACTGCCTCAGATTGTAATGACCTGGATTCTCTACCTCTTAGCCTATAAATTGCCTCTAATTATCTTTTTTTCTTCTTCTTCTTTACAGGAATTAACAATGTAACTATTTGACAACAAGGACACCCCCCCTCCTCCTCTTCTTTCCCCCTCTTTTTGGTGTTTGAAAAGTGGAACTACAGCTTGGTTTAAAATTTGTACTGTTTCTATCACTAATAAAGTTGTGGCTTCTTGTTGGATGGACTCAGTAGGTGCTAGATCTTTTCCCAGAAAGTAAATTGAAGGTGTTCCCCCACCTTCAAGTGTGTTTCCCCCACTTTTTTCCCTCTCCTCCTGCCTCTCCCTGCCCCTCTCCCTTTCCTCTTGTTTGTGTATGCAGACACTATATGGAAAAAAATCCTTTTAAAAAGCTTTTTATCTTGCTGGGTATAGTGGGCAGCAACTTTATTAATTCCAGCATTTGGGAGGCAGAGGCAGGAGAACCTCTGAATTTGAAAACAGCCTGGTCTGCATAGTGAGTTCCAGAACTACATTATAGAGAGACCGTGTCTCAAAAATTTTTTTTCTTTTTTTAAATTCTAAGTGACACAATAAGACCAATAGACTTTGTTGAGACAGGATCTCAAGCTGTAGCCTAGAAGAACTCAAATTCATGGCTATTCTTCTGCCTCAACCTCCTCAGTTAAGAGCACTGACTGATTTCCCAGGTCATCCCTGTTCATTTTCCAGCAACTACATGCTGGTTCACTATTGTCTGCTGTGAGTTGCAAGGAATCTGATGCCCTCTCTAAACTTTGGGTACTAAGTACACATATGATAAGTCTTAAAGAATCTCTGCATTTGTGTGTTGGGAAGGATGGGGCATGCATTCATGCCACAGAGTACCACGAAAGTAAAAGACATCTTGCAGGAGGCCTCTCTTGTACCATATAGGAATGGAGCCCAGGCTATAAATCTTGGCGGCAGGCTTATATTCATCCACTGAGCCATGATGCCAGCCATGTACCTTTTTTGCTTTGAGACATGGTCTCTTCAGATTTCTGACTTGTATGGAAGTCACTAGGTAGACCAGGCTTTTGTCAAACTCATAAAGATGTACTTCCCAATTAATCACTGGATTAAGGTGTGCACAGCCTCTGCCCATTCTTGAGGCCTGCAGTGTGCTAAGCACTGGATATGCAAGTCCTCATACTCAAGAAACTTCATCTACATCATGGAAAGAACTGTCTTCCTTGCTCTGCAATGTCATGGTCTCTGAAACCCCAGGACTCTGTGCTGAAGTGGAGGATCATGAGTTCAAGGCCAGCCTAGATCACATAGTTTCAAAACAAACTAGGCTACAAAAAAGAAGGAGCCTGTCTCATGTCTATAAAAAAGTTACCTTAGGCTAGCCAGCATTCTGTTACTGTAACAAAACAGCTGAGGAAAACCAGCCTATGCTTACCTCGGTGTCATGTGCCCATAATAATGGCACTTGAGATGTGGAAGCAGGAGGATCAGCTGCTCAAGACTGGAACCAGCCGTTCCGGGGACGGTGCTTAGAGTGGAAGGTGCTCAAGATGGTCCAGCGTTTGACATACCGACGTAGGCTTTCCTACAACACAGCCTCTAATAAAACCAGGCTGTCTCGAACCCCTGGCAACAGGATTGTTTACCTTTACACCAAGAAGGTTGGGAAGGCACCAAAATCGGCATGTGGTGTGTGCCCTGGCAGACTGCGAGGGGTTCGTGCTGTGAGACCCAAAGTCCTTATGAGATTGTCTAAGACAAAGAAACACGTCAGCAGGGCCTACGGTGGCTCCATGTGTGCCAAGTGTGTCCGCGACAGGATCAAGCGGGCTCTCCTTATTGAGGAGCAGAAAATCGTTGTGAAAGTGTTGAAGGCACAAGCACAGAGTCAGAAAGCAAAATAAATATGCATTTTTTTTAGTAATAAAAATCAAGGCTTAGTCTACAAAAAAAAAAAAAGAAGACTGGAACCAGCCTACAGGAGACCTTGCCAAAAAAAAAAAAACACAGAATTCATGTTTTTGTTTCAGAAGCTTAAAATACACTATTGTAAGGCTGAACATGAAGGCCAGGAGCAAGTGGAACAGCAAAGCTGCTTACCTAAATGGAGGAAAGAAAGGGAAAGAAAAGAAATGGTTTCTGAAGTTTCCATACCAGAAAGAGACTAAGCTTTCAACATGTGAGCTATTAGGGGACAATTAGGATTCATTTAAATTCTGGGGCCTAGTAAGTGAGACAGGAGGATCTGATTTTGAGGCCAACCTGGTCTACATATCAAGTTCCCAGGTTAGCTAGGGTCTTAATACAAGTAAAACATCTCTTGGCTCAGTCTCATTTAAAAGGGGAATGGGGGAGGGCTGCATTTATCACTTTTATAAGTGTCTGCCTGCACTGCTTGCATGCCGTACTTGGGGAAGATTAGGAGAGTATCCAATCCCCTGAACTGGAGTTACAGATGGTTGTTAACTATATGTGGTATGGTTGCTGGGTATCTACCACAGGTCATCTGAAAGAGCAGTCAGTGGTCTTCGTCACTGAGCCATCCGGCCCCTACAGTTTCTTGAAAATACCACAAAATTTGCTTTACACGTTATATGCAGTGCTTTTTTCTTTTGGGTTTATGAGGCTGGCTTCAGTCTCAGTATGACCGTCTTTGCATGTCTCAGCTCTCTGTGCCATCTGAGGTTTCTTTAATCCCTTTGTAGCCGTTCTTTAACATTCCATGGTGAGTGATCTCAGTTATTAGTAACTAAGATTGGAATAAAGAAGCTGAGCAGTGATTGTGCATGCCTTTGATTCTAGCACTTTGGGGGGCCAAGAGGCAGGTGGAGGTTTGGACCACACCAGCCTGGTGTGCAGTGAATTCCAGAATAGTCAGGACTACATAAATAATCACATGTTGGGGGAGGGGGGTGCTTTTTTTTGCTATTCAGCAAAGAAAAATGGCACATTGTAGCCAACTAGTTCTGCATAGCTTGTGAGCTTGTTATTTAGCAAGCACTGACACTGTAGAGATAAAAGCAAGTTTCTGCCATAAAGGGTGCCATCAACTTTTTGGTTTATGTGAGATGTAGGTTTTTGGTTTTTTTTTTTTTTTTTTTTTTGGTTTTTCAAGACAGGGTCTCTGTGTAGCCCTGGCTGTCCTGGAACTCACTCTATAGACCAGGCTGGCTTCGAACTCAGAAATCCACCTGCCTCTACCTCCCAAGTGCTGGGATTAAAGGCGTGCACCACTACTGCCTGGCAAGTATGTGTGTTCTTAAAGGTGATTATTTCAGGTATGGGTATTTTGAGAACAATTGAAAAAGTCAGAGATGCTTATGTGTAGAACTAAGGAAAGAACCAAGAGCTAGCCCTGATTTGAATTCTCTACCCTCCCCAAGTCTTCCATTGTACTGTGGGTTTTTTCTACCTGAATTTATTTCTACCTGAAGTTTTGAGACTCTGTGTGTATGACAAAGGGATATGCTCTCTTTTTTAAGATTTATGTACATGAGTACACAGTTGCTCTCTACAGACACACCAGAAGAGGGCATCAGATCCCATTACAGATGGTTGTGAGCCATCATGTGGTTGCTGGGAATTGAACTCAGGACCTCTGGAAGAGCAGCTAGTGCTCTTAACTGCCGAGCCATCTCTTTAACATCATTTACCTTGGGATTGAATAACTGACCAAGATAACAAACTCTATGACACAATATACTGTTTTAAAAACAAAAATACCTGCCACTTGGTTTTACCAAAGACTCAGGAGCCAGATGCTGTGGTGAAAGCCTGCTAGCTCAGAGAGGCAGAGGAAGCACCAAGCTGACCTTCCTACTCTATATCCCAGAAGGGTTAAAAAGCTGCTTCCAGCTGTCTTATTAAAACTTTCAACTCAATCTCCCTCCTTTCTGTTTCCTTAGGTTCACTCCCTCTCAGCTGGTTACTTGCTCCTTCTTTTGGACCTAGGGTTGACTTTATTTAGCTCTTAGAGTGTGCTAGGGCTGAGCCACACACAAGGTTTTTCCAGTTCATAATCTTGGGGTTCACAGTTTGATCAAATACCCTGCAACAATATGTGAATAATTTCAGCTTGGGATATTCAATTTATAAAGTAGCTTTCAGTTTGCTCTTTCCAGCAAATGACTATCAACATGTACCTATCAGTTACTCATAGGTCAGGAGATTATAGCTACGTATTAGTTTAGGTTGTAAAAGGTGAGATTGGTTGTTAAATTGTTTTCTTAAAGGCAGGCTAAACAGGCTGGGTATAGTAGGATAGCAGGCAAGTGTTAAGTGATCTCAGAGTATATTAAATATGGCTGTAAGGTCCTACAAAAGTTCCAGTCTCAGGATAATTTTATTATGCCTTGCCACAGAGGTAAAAGAAAGGTTTTTTTTTTTTCGTTTTTTTAAACTTTTTTTTTTTTTCGGTTTTTCAAGACAGGGTTTCTCTGTGTAGCCCTGGCTGTCCTGGAACTCACTCTGTAGACCAGGCTGGCCTCGAACTCAGAAATCTGCCTGCCTCTGCCTCCCAAGTGCTGGGATTAAAGGCGTGCGCCACCACCGCCCAGCTAATATTTTAAAGCCTCTTCCTTACTGATTAGAAATATTGTTAGGTGGGAGGTGGTGATGAGCCTTTAATCCCAGCACTCAGAGGCAGATAGGTAGCTGTGTTCAAGGCCAGCCTGGTCTTACAGAGTGAGTTCCAGGACAGAAAAGGCTTCATAGAGAAACTCTGTCTTGGGGAAAAAAAAAAAAAAATTCTTGCTAATGTGACCCTATAGAGACCCTAGAACTTATTAGCCCAAACCTCAGAATATGAGAAAGCTCAAACGAGGCATAGTGGTTTTTTTCTTTTCCTATTACTGTCAAACTAGTGTTTCTAAAATGTGAGAAAATAAAGTTGAAGCACGAGAGAGGATGTAAAGTAACTCTTGTGTTTTAATCTAGCACTTATCCCAGCCAAAAGCTGAATTTATCGGTAAGTTTGCAAAACAAACCCATTAGAACTTAGATATATCAGCTAATGTTTGAGATTATAGCTAAAGGCATGAATGAAGTCTGAAGTGAAATCTATTGAAATGGAGTTAGGAAAGAAAGAAGTAACTAAAGGATTCGGAGGGTTGGGGAATGATGGATTACAAACTGCCATGCAGTGGGACCCAATCTCCATGTCTTATGAAAGACAATTGTTTCAAAAGAACTTTTGATAAGGGAAGTTCCCGGTAATTTCAGGTTAAGAGTCTCAAT